GATGAAAGATGTAGAATGGTTGAGTTTGGGTGCAAAGACATACCAGGAGTATAGCAAGAAGGCAGCAGTTCTCTGTCACATGAAGACATCAAAACAYGACCAAAACGACTGTGGTTGATGAGCTCATGATTACAAAGTAAGGGAAAAAAATGTTTCTGTTTGGGGGTTTCCATAAAAAAAAGSCAGCATCTGTTCCCTAATAAGGTTGCTCCTCACAAACTTTTGAGACAGCAGTTTGGGGAGGATTCTAGGAAGACACCCACTCAACTCCCCCCGGTGTAGCTCTCACGTGGTGCAGCAGAGCCCTGCAGTCGCTGGACGGCTCCTCTCGCCCAGGCAGTGCTAGGGGGCCCTTCAGCAGCACGTAGGAGCCAGACCCCTCCATCTCCACCTACCAGAGCGGCCATTCACGTATCTGACTAGCAACCTCCAGCTGAAGTTTCCAGCATAGCTGCCAGCCTCAATTAGCGTCCAAAATATAACTGGCATCTTTGCAAGCATCAGTGTTATTGCCTTTATTTCTTAGGAACAGCAGCCATCTGCTCCCAATAGCCCACATCTGGCATATCGAGTGTTACGAAAGAGCCTCAGTCTTCTACTAAAGAAATTATTCCTCTAGCCAAAAGACTAGTGCAGAGCTGTAGTCTAACATTTGTAGTTACAAATTGATTGCATAGAGTRTAATTACCTGAGGCTTCACATTTTAGAATGATGGTTTTGTCTAGGATTTTTTTWTTTAATCTCTGAAATGCTGCTCTGGTGTAAATCACTGTGTCACAGAAAACAATTAAGAAGAAAGCAAGGAGAGAGGGAAGTATCAGCGGCACTAAGAACCTACACAGCGGAGCAATCCCTTCCCATTTTCCCCATCTCGCACACTATACCAGGAACCTGTGATGAACCCAGAGCAGGAAGAGGCATCAACTGCATATTTTCTAAAATACAAGGCACAATCCTTCATTTGCCAAAAGTTGCAATAAAGCAGCCTGTGCCTCCTGGTAGGAATACGCTGGTTAAGTTATAGAACTAACACGGGTCACTGGACCTTAAAGCACAGATAGCAGTTGCCTGTGTCACCTGCTGATGCTGTGGGGTGGTCAAAAGGATGAAAATAGGGAATTCAAGGAGGTCCCACAACCTTGGAGGAGAAAAGCAAGGCGGCGTTCGGAAAGGCTGCTATATTAAATACCTTTACAAAGAGGAGCAAAAAGAAGATGCGATCCTGAGAAATCCCCTAGGCACGCCAGCCTTGAGCGAGTCACAGAAACTAATTAGACAGTTTTTCAAGCTGAGGAAGATCCTTACTGTTGAKTAACCTATTACTGCAAATCCATTGCTTCTTGATTCTTTTATCCCACATTGCATTTCAATATAGCACAAATACAAGCAAATAAATACCTCCCTAAATTATTGCTTTTGCAGAAGACAGCCAGCCTGCTACTACCAATGGCAGCCTAAAAGAGCAGCTCTAGAAGTTCACAGTATCTGGACAAAAGCCTGAATTTTCATCGATGACAACAGAACAGGCTGTCACTCTGTTACTGTGACCAGTAAGGTAGCTTGTGACACTGCCAGCACATGCCTTGCTGGAGGGAAGATAATATTCAGGCACATTGCTGGGTGCAAAGCAAAAGGAGCTGAGCACACGAGGGACCGTGGAAATGTATTTGAGGAACATGGCTGTTCACATCTGCCCTGCGTTCACACGGAGGCAGGGCACAGCACCACGTTCAGGCTGGTTTCAGCTCGGCTGGCAATCGTCACACTGAGTGTCATCCTTGCCTGCCTGGGGAGGGAAGGGCATAAAAAGGCCCCTTTGCCCTTTGGTTGCAGTGGGAGTAAGCTGGCCCRCGAGGCTGTCAGTACTAAGTGTGCACATGTTTTATTTGGCCCTCATCCTAAAATAATTGTTTAGTCACAACAGAAGGTGACAAGCTATTCAGCCGCAGCCCCTGGGGAATACTAGGAGAAAAATCCCCAAGCACTTGCACAGCAGAGCTCGGGCTGCTCTGAAACATCAGGATCAGCCCCAAGAGCTCCACAGCTCAGTCCCCACAGCCCTGGCACCAACTCACCCCAAGCAGCTCTTCTCTTACACTCGGATAAGGCAGCAACCTTGCCCTGCTCTCTGCGTCCAGCAGGAAGGTCACTGAAAGCAAACACGGGTCCACCAACCTCCGCCTGGATGTGGCCAGAGCTGCTACTGCAAAAATAAAGCCCTGCTCAGCTCCTCGTTGGAGCATGGAAAGCATGGATAAAATGTCAGGGATCAAACACATCAAATTAACAAACATCTCTACCTAAACATGCATCTATTGTGATCACTCGAGGCCTTTAGAAAGAACAGGCATGGATGGAGTTTCATGGGACAGCACAAAAGGCAGTTTCTTGACACCAGGATCACCTGCGATTCAGGTTTCCAGTTCGCACTCAAACACATCAAAAAGATCACCAGAACTGGATATGGAAAAATATTTCTCCTCCTCTTACTACATTTTCAAAAGCAGCCAAGTCATTTTAGCCAATTACCTAGTTTATTTTATTATTTTCTAATAACCAGAGGCATGAATAATTTCCAGCACGGAAAATTTCTGCCTAAAGAGCTAAAATTGGCATGGAACCATAAAACGGAGTCACGCAATAAAGGCCTCCAGCAGCTGCAATAGCCAGTGCTACCAAGCTTACCTAGAGCATTTCTTTCCACTGCATTAAGAGGATCTGCTTCACTCTTCCCCTTTCAATCCAATTTCCACTGTACACCACAAGCTTGCAGCATGTGCGTGATAATGGGGAAGGAAGGGCAAAAACCACAGTTTCATTCATTTTTTCAACGTAGGCAAAAAGGAGTGGTTCGGGTTTTTTTTGGCAAGGGAAGTTGAAGGGATTGGGGATGTGAGGGAAGGCACGCATATGTGCTAAACTTCTCTATGGGCACCATGGCATGYGTGTATATAGAGTATGAAGCCCCTCCAAGCTGCCTTGTGAGTTTGTTGTGCTCACACACAGCTGGCTTGTGTCTTCTTCCCCGAGTGTGACAGGGGACTTCCTAGAGACAACATTTTCCACCTCGGAGCATGCGCTGCTCCGTCTAGGATGCCCCGTTGAGGAAGAGCTGCTCGTTCCTGGCACACCAGCACACCCAAGGAACGGAGCACTCCATGCAACCACAGCAGGGCAGTGGTACCGCCGGGGGCACGCACGAATCCCAAGAGACTCTGCCCTTCTTAGGGCACACAGCCCCGACTGGTCGGATGCAGCCGATGCCCCGAGTGTCAGCAAAGAGGAGATGCTGCAGAGAAGGAAGCGTGGAGCTCCATTTCCTTTCAGAGCTGGCCGCTGCCCAACAGCTGGTCCCTGTTTATTTGCTTTAATATTTCCTTGGTTACGCAAGCGCCCGCGCGCGGCTTAACCCCTGCTTGCCCCGGTGCGGCCCTGCCCGGGCGGCTCGTGCCACTCCTCACACGCACCGTCCCGCTGTCCCTGGGGGCAAGGGTCCAGACCAACCTCCACAGCCACCTCTACAGAGGCCTTTCAAGCTGGCCTGACCTGCTTTCAYGCCCAGGAGGTCCCACACTGCCTGCTCGGCTGTGCAGGCCCAGGTGCACTGCAGTTTCCAAAGCACACGTGGATCTGGATGGCTCTGCAGCGGGGCGCCCTCGGCCCAGGGCGCCCGCCGCAAAGCCGGCGCCTTTGGGAGCGCGCAGGGCTGCAGGCCGAGGGTGCCGAGCTGCGCTYCCAGTGCGGTACGGGCCGTGGAGCAAGGTGCCAGGGAGTTTTCTGGCAGTTGCTGCAGGCCCGTGGATCACTTCACACATTCTCCCTTCTCCCCGGTGCTGAGCCTGTTCCAGCAGCTTGGTTTGTGTTCTGGCTCGTAAAGCCCAGCCAGACCCCTTGGCTCATCCCCACCACAGGAGGGGTGGGAACACCCTYGGATTGTGGGCAGCTTTCTGCAAAGCCTTCTCTCCCGATGGCCTTTCCAGCTCTCCTGCTTCCCTCCTGGCTGCCCCGCTCTATCCCCACCAGAACCTAATGGCTAAACCAGCTGCTACCAGCAGCTCTCCAGGCTGGCAGCATATTCCACTGGATAAAGGGAATTTCCCTAGCGTTGCTGTAACACCAACCGTGAAGCAGAGCAACCCCATCAAAAATCTGTGATTCTGGGAAGCAGCCCTGTTTCAGAAAAAAAAAAACAGCCCACACTCGCATGGATTTCATCTCAAGATGTTCACACATTCYTTCCTCATTTCCACAGGGACTGGTGGGCTCCACTGGCAGGGAAGGTACAGGCAAGACTGGAGAGGCACAAGGGGCTAAATCTACATGGTAGGCAGGGACAGAAATAAACCACTTAATCTCTTCACTGATTGAGCTGATCAGAGAAAGAGCAATGGAGATCCCTGAGGAGCCCTGGGATACAGGATGGGAGTCTAATAAGGGGGTGCAGTGAACACGCATGCAGAGTGAGCGTTTGGGCTGGAGTCCAAACCCAGCTCGAGGCAGGCACCCAACCTCATTGACTAAAGAAAGGGCTCCCAGGAGGATTAACATTGGCCATCCTGAAAAAAACTCCATTAACTGATCTTACTTCTCCACACAAGAGAGGCATACTGGGACACAGCCACTGAGAGAACATCATCTTCAGCCAGRAACAACTTTCCACGGACCATTTCTGAGGAACAGGTCTTGCCTTCCATTTTAGCAAATCAAGCTCTTGGTTGCACAATGACAGAACTCACCACCGCACCCCAAGCTCCAGGGTGCACACACACAACCAGTGTCAACAAAGGGAAAACCACTCAGCAGCTACAAGCTCAGCTTTGGAGGGTGCTTGTTTTTCCTCTTCCATGGATGTCCAAATAGCATTTACCTTTCCTCAGAAACATTTTTGGTAGATTACAAAAGAACACTTGCCTTCAGCATAAAACATAAGCCATGCTTCTCCCAATTGACCTCTTTTGCCCCTGTAAAGCTAAATACAGAAGAACTGGAAGAATGCTTACCTGTAAGTCAAAGAACTTGCTATACCGACGGTATATGACTTCTGTGGACCCATTGGACCAGGTGACTTTGATAATGTACACCTGCAGGGAAAGGAGGAAGAAATCAGAGAGAAGCAATGGAGAACAGCTCACACCACAAACACACAGAGCTGCTAACACTGCCCGCTATAAGCATCAATAAGGAAAGCTCATGGGAGCACTCAGAGTCGATGATTAACTTGGGCAATACTAGAAACTATGTATGCTTGGGTTAATCAGCTTCACTGCTGGAAGGTGGACATCCACAAAACACTCCCATTTGTGACTACAGACAGCTTCCAGTCCTTAACCACAGGCAAACACAAACTGTGAAAGGCCACTTCATCTTAAAACAAGGTAGAAGTCTCTCCAGAGACAGACACATTAATACTTAATAACCACATTCGACCAACCCAAGTATGGCTGTGGGATCAAGTTTGACCCAGAGACCCCCAGACTGCAGCCCTCAATGCACCATGTGGTGAACCATACGTCAAGCAGAGCCAGAGCTGCAGCGTGTAAGAACATATAACCTGAAAGGTTCAAAACTTGGTTTGTTTTTCCATTCGTAGCTCTGTTGTCACCTTGGGGTTTTGTTTGCTTAAACTTGCTGGAGCGCAAGTTATCCTCCTCTTCAATAAAATGATAGAATTGCCAGGATTAATTGCACAAGTTATTCACAGATCATGTGATGAAGATTGTGCTGGTAGTAAACGAAAAAAAAATTCATTATTCTTTCATGATAGACAACAAGAAAGAGAAAGACTCCAGGAATTATTTAAAGTCCTCATTTGTTGTTCACAGAAACCAAGGATGACTCTTGATGAGATGCCAACGTAATTATCAAATGTTGCAAACCTCTATCTTCACTAATTGATAACAGATTGACTAAACAGATCAAGGGCATGTTCCTTTTTGATTATTATTCTAACATCCTGTATATTTCACCAGAAAGTCAAGCATCAATCCACCAAAGCAGGAACAAAACATTCAGGAGACTCAGGGAAATGGAACTTCTGGGAACTTCAGACTGAGAATGAAGAGCAGAGGCTCCTCGAATTAAGTTGTTTTGGTATTTAAAATAAAATCCCTTACAGTTTCACAACTTTTCCCACASAGACATACATTCTTCCAGATGCTGGAATTCAGCCAACTCCCAACCCAACACTCGAGCTCAAACACCAGGAGACCTAAGCAGACAGTGCAACACTAAACTCTTCAAGCTAGTTGAACCTCTTCTAATGCCTTACTACAAATCTAAACTAAAGGGCATTCTTGGAGGACCGAGGGACTATGAGCTGCCAAGGCGGAGAGACCAAGGGAACCACAAAGTCTTCCCCACAGAGTCACTTTTCACTTCAAGATGGAAATAGTGGCAGAGAGACAAAGCAAGTCATTTTTAAGATAAAGAACTTAAGTAGTTTTACTCTAAAAGTTAAATGACCACCTTTCTTAAACCAGATGAGCTGCCCAAACTAAGTTGCAACTTCTTTTTTAACTTGCAGTAARCTGGCTGGAGCATTACACCCACAACAAAGGCCAGAATACAGCATTTATAACATCTTTGAAGGCCTGGATTGACAGTAACTTCTCATAGCAGGCACACAGGCACTGCAACCGTGGCTCGATTCTCTCAGACGCCCTTAGCCAACACCAGATGAGAAGTGACTCGACCAACCACACATTGCAATGAAAACAGGTTAAGATGCATGAGATATGTGAAATTTCTGAGAGCATCCACGCACTTACTGTCTCTCAGGCACAAGTAATTTCACGGCTTGGCTGAGCCCAAAGTTTACGAATATTCAGTTAATTAAGCAGTTAAGCACATCCTCTCTTCTCCAGGACCAGCCTCTCTTGAACCTGCCTGCTCCGATAGAATAAGAGCCAAAACACTCACATTTTGGGACAGATGCTGTCATCAGCAAATGAAGTGTTAACTTCATACTAGAAGAGCATCCAAGATGCCTTCACCCTCACCCCAGGATTTACTGGGAGGCCAAAATGAGCTCATTTTGGTTGGAACTTCAGCTGATATCCCAGCTTTCTTACCAGTTTGCAGCACTTTGCGGAGTTATATCACTGCTGGCTGCCTGCCCGGAGAACGCCTTCCACTGGGGCAGGGCAAGAGCCAACTTTTCTTCACTGTTTATTCCTATCCTGCCTTTATTTGGAGTCAACAGTTTATTACACTGGGATTTTAATCAGGATGTGGATTTACTCAAGACAAAGTGAATTTGAAGCTCAGAAGGGCAATAAAGSCCTGAGATTGAGGGCACACCATGCTTTATTATATGCTTTGTAATTGAGGGAAGGGACAGTTCTCCCAACTTATGAGCTCACTGCTATGTTGCTGACATGCAGATCTCTGCTATGCCTGGATAATTGTTACTTGCACATCTGATATAAACAGAAGAAAAGTCTCTGTGAAGGTATCCTCCTCACCCATCTGTGGAAAACAGAAGAGACAGGAAAACACACATACACAAAAAGGAGATTCAATATCTTTCGTCCTCTATCTGCTCCCAAGCTGCTTGGCTGAACTTGGCCATAAAAGCAGCTGCCYGAGCAGTTGCGCCCCATGGGAAGCCATCTAGTCCCAGCTCCAAGAAGGCACCAGGCAGATCCCGCACACACAACACGAGAGGGGCACTGGGCCGCTCAGCTCTGCAGAGACTGCTCTGAGCAGGGGTGTTTTCCACGCCTGGCTGCGTGGGTGAGGGCATGTGGAAACAGTTCATGAGTCTTCTCCAGGCTTTCTAYGGCCCATCAAACATATAGAAACCACCAGCAGGAGCTTTCCATGGAAAAAGCAACTCCTCATAGAAGATGTCTCCTGGGGCTGTAGCTACCTCTGCCTTGGGTCTCCACACCCACCAAGCTGCTCCATCCCCAAACAAGGAGCACAGCTGGGCTCTGCTGCAGGGAACAGGGGCAAGGCAGAGCTCAAATGCAGCCCAGAGAGCTGCTCGAGGGGTGGGGAGAGCTGAGCAGATGGCAGGGAGGCAGCACGATCCAGGAAGGAGGCTGCAACCCCATCACGTGGGCTGGGCCAGGGGCCAAAACCAACAGGCAAARCTATCTAAATATTTGCAGGGCTTCTCAGGCCAGCGGCAGGGTCTGCACCGTGGCGGGAAACTAGCTGACTCTGTGAAACCTGGGAAGCGATGGTTCCTCTCCCTCCGGAAAGGGATGCCCGAGTCTGTCCCACTCCCAACACCACAAGCTGGAGGAGCCTCCACCCCGTGCCCCACTCCAACCTGGATTGCTGCACACGTGTCACGTCAAAACTGCGGCTAAGCTTGAGGCCTGAAGGCAAAGGGCCAAACTGAGCTTTGGAACAGGCAGAAAGCACCGAGGCTGAAACCCGCTCACATTCACACYTAATTTGAGACGCAGATCATAGGAGAATAAATGAAATTCGTGCCCATGCTTTTGAAATACTTGAAATGCGGTTCAAGGCATTTGTGCTACTAGAACAACGCACAGAGAAAGAGTATGGAGTTTTTGGAGATACATAAACAGACCTAAAGTCTACTTTCAAGATTAGAAGCTCCATGCGTGCACCTCCCCTCCCCAAATTTACCCTTCCCCAACCCGACTGTCTCCTTGCCTTCAAGTCCTCCAGGCAGCATCACACTTTCCAAGACCTCCAAGCACAGGACAACTCACACTTTGCAGCATGCCTGGACTACAGAAGCAGTGTTAGGCTGGACTATCTTTTCAGGGCCACAATGTAGACTGCAGAGAGGGAATAAGATCTCCTCTCTGCTTCCACGTGGCTTTGTGTGGGTGGTAGGAAGTTCAGAGGTAACAGCGACAGCTTCACATGTGCAGGGGATCTTGCTTAATGCTGGAAGAGAAAAGCACTTCATATCAAAGCAAAACACAGCACACAGTTCTGCTCCTTGGAGGGTAAAACTGGAACAAATCCTTTATGGAAAGTGGAACCCAACAGATGCAGAAGGCTGAACTCTGACAGCCCCAGCAGTGCCTTGGCTCACTAAAATTCCTATGAAACTTTACATTACAGTAATGGGYCATACACTCAATAGTTCAAATATTATGGGTCAGGAAGATTATTGTGACCATGGTTCTCCATGATTCTCTTCGATAACCTCTGATATACAGTGCCCTAAGCTGGAAATACAAGGATGGGAAAAAAAGACCCATTAGATGATCCAAATGCACCCTGCTGGCTATCACAAAGCTGTTCCTCATAGAGCCTGTCTCATGTGATCTCAGTCCTATCTCAGCTCTCCCCTCTCTCCAGCATTTCTGGAGACACTGTTCAGAGTGGGAACGAGCCAGTGGAAAGTGGGACTGAAAACCCTCATAAGGGAACTGTCAAAAAAGACAGGTCGCTAAGAGAAATGCAGATGGCATCTGGCCAAGCATAACAGAGCTGTCAACAAAAGCTGCCCATCAGCTATCATGTTAGCAGGGACTCTGGCAACCGCAGGGGAAATATGCTGGCAACTCGCAGCAAGCAAATACCTTCCGCTGCTTCAAGAGGGAGATCCAGCCTCCCATTGGGAGCACACCACGAGGATGGAGAACAGGGCCCGCTCTCCTGGGAATGGCACTCGGACAGCACCCCACACATACAGAAAGTCCCATCACTTGCTCGCTCATCAAGTGCCACCAGATAAACGGGCTAGGTAGAGCAGAGAGAGCTCACATGCAAACCAGAAGTGGTCAGAATCCCACAGACTGAAATGCCTGAGAACAGAAGGAAAAAGAATTCAGTGCAAATTATCTGTCTCTGTCCAGAACACCAGCCAGAGATCTTTTTTTCCCCTCAAACAGATGAGGTAGCAAGTATAAGCCCTGGGAACTGTCAGGCCCTAGAAGTGCTCCTCCAGGGACCAACAACAAATCCTAGTGCAGCAGATAACAACGCTTGGACGATTTCCGCAGCTCACACYGGCTGAGGACGTTGAAGCCTTTCACAAATGGTCAGTGTTGCATCTTACCCAAGATGGATGTTGTCCTCAACCCAAAGAGGAAAAAAAAAAATTTAAAAAAAAAAAGGAGAGAGAAAGGGCTAAAAAAGTAGATGATTCAAGTGGCTGCCTTGAAGCAAAGGCACCAAGGACAGACACAAGGAAATACGAGTTTCCAGGCCCCTTCCTGAAACATGAGGCTGTATAATTTTCTGGGGTAATCACTTCTGGACTGCTGCTTGTAGAAACACACAAGTGATTTTTATATAAAACACAATGCAGAAATCAGCCTATTCTGCTTACATCTGCAGAGCAAAGACTGGAGTTATAGAAAACCTTGAGCAATAGTTTCAGAAGAAGAGCTCTTTCATCCCACAGGTCTCCCAATGAGGCATCAGAAGCACCCGGGTGCAGGGGTAAAGGTGAAAGCCCCAAACGAGGCTCTGGYCCCAGCTGCCAACCGTTTCTGGAGCAGGCACGGCCTAGGGCCACCTGCCAGGTATGTTCTGCAGAGCAAGAAGACAAGATGAGCAGTCAGGGCTGTGCACAGCATCAGCGCAGCCCCAGCCACTGCCATTCCCTCTACCCACCACACTCTCCTTCCAGAGCATCACACACAGCAGATGCTCCACGTAGTCCCAACTTCCAAAGCTTTGCATCAGCACGCAAGAACTGGCTCGCCCATAAGCAGAATCTCACCCTTCCCTGGCTCAGCAGGGACTCTGGACTCACTGCCCCACGCAGCAGCACGCAGCTCCTACGTCGCTGAATAAACAGACGCCCGAGAGGGCAAGTCCACCCAGCAGAGCAGAGCATCATGCAGATAGGCCAGCCATGGCCAAAGCCCAGCACAGCCGCATCCACACAACGTGGCAAGCGAGGTAGGAGTCTTTCAGCAGGCCTCCCAGCATGGCATGCAGGTCAGCAGCAGCAGCCAGGTGCCTCTGCAGCCCTCCCTGCACTCCCGGACCTGCACGTATGGCACTGAAACAGCTCCATACCTGCGGCCAAGGGTACCCATGGCAAGGGGGGACAAACCCAGGAGGTTCYGCTCCTGCCAACACCAAGGACTGCATTCAGTTGCAGGGAAACTGCACAGCGTGGAGGATGGCGGGGAGCAAGGCAAGGAGTCAGACACCCATCGCTTTGGGACAGGGTCCCGCCGGCTACCCCACACCAGCGCCTGCCACATCCAAGTCACGGAAACAATGTGGATCTTTAGAAAGCGCCAGCGCAGTCACTGGAAAAGCCGCTCCCAGAGCCTCAGACGTGCGCGTTGCACCCGCGCACACCCGGAGCGCCCAGGGCAAAGCCAGACATAACAGCCTCCAGCGGAGCGGGAATCGTCTGAAGGGTTATTTCAAACGGGTCTGAGCCTGTGTGGTCTTGGGGCCGGAGAGACTATGCACAATAAACCTCTCTGTGGAAAACTTCACATACTTAAAGCATCTTTGGGCAGCAGAGGGAAAAAGCATCAGGCGCTTGATTCCGCCCGCGCTCTCCCACACCCCGAAGCGCAGGGAGACAACGCGAGAGGCTTAAGGCACTACCCGCCCRAGGAGCTCAAAGGGGCTGAGAAACCAAACCAGCTGCGGGAACCAACCCAAACAGAGCCGTGTTTAATGCAGAGGGAGTGGGAAACCGTAAGAGGAAAAGAAAAAAAAATAGAAAAGAAAAAGAGGGAGGTGACTGGAAACAAAGAAAGTTCTTGGCGAGCGCGGCTGCGCTTGGCCCCTCTCCACCAGCGGCTGCCCCAGCAGGAGCGCAGGGCTGCGCAGGGGAGCGGGGCCGCGGCTCCCGCTCGGCCCACGGGCGGGAAGCACGGATCTGCTGCCGGCCGCATCGGGGAGCACGCGGAGGCGGCGGGCGCAGGGCRGCCCTCGAGGCTGACGCGGATTCCCTGGGGTGGGGAGGGACCCAAGCAGGGCTGCAGGGCTGAGCAAGCTGCAGCTCACTGGGAGGCAGTGGGCAGGCCGAGGGAGGTGGCGTGAGGACAGCGATATCCTTGCCAGCACTGCAAACAACCCAATCCAAACCTGGCTGCCCGTTTGCCCAGGGCCAGCTAGACTACAAACCAGCTGCTGTTCCCAGCCCCAAGWCATCCCTTTTCCCGTACCCTCCTAAAAACCCCAAGACTAACCGCTTTTCATGTTGCTTTGCAGCTCGCTGGGACACACACTACCCGAGCACGCAGCCGAGAAGCTGCTGCTCTGAACGAGGGAATGTCCAAGCAGCGAGCAGCAGCAGTGCATGGAGCAGCGAGATCCCGGGGGCAACGCGCTGMGCTTCCCCCGACCGCCGCGCAGAGCCCTCCCTCACACAACATACACGCTGGTTTCCTCGCTCCGAGTCACAGCCAAGGTCACACATATGGATTCATTTGTTTCCCATTTCCCACCGCTACATGAAACGGCCGGAAAACACATAYACTGTCCAAAGCTAAGCTGCAAAGGATCAAGGTCACCAGCAATCCGAGTGGCCATGACCACGTCCTCTGTGCTGAAGTTCATCGCCGAGACGTCACGCAAGCCCCAGCAACCCTACAGGCCTCTGCTTTGTGGGCAGAGCTTTTTCATCAGCCTCAGTGGACTCTTGCCAGGCAGAGCTTGGCCCTACCGCTCAAGTCCGACATTCTAGGCTTTCAACAGCCTTAAGTAACACGACTAGGGAAGAAAAGAAAACACAAAGGATTGTATTTGATTGGGGCCTTTCACAAAGCCCAAGCGCTCCCCAAAGCCTCAATCCACTTGGGAAGCGAGAAGGAAGGAAGAGGGCTCAATCAGCTCTTCAACACTATGCAATGGAGCAGGACCAGACATGAAGATGGGTCCAAATTTCTGCCCACGGTTGGACTCCAGCTGCAGGAGGACTCCAAACCCAGTACCTTTGGCCTGCCCAAGGCAGGAGAGGGAAAACATCAGCCAGCTGACGGGAAATGGGACCAGACACACAGAGCCACAGGACACAGCAGCAAAACCATGTCTAGGATGCTGAGAAAGAGCGAGCTTTCAGTCTCTCAGCTCCATCCTTCTCTCAGGGCCAGCAGCCAGCTGCCCAGTAACTCTTTCCAGAGCAGCAGGAAATGCAGTTTCTGGGATTCAGGCTCATTTCTCACACAGTATTTTCACTTTTATTTTCTTAAAAGATTCCTAGTTCATTCAACAGCCTTCAGGCTGATTTAACACCACTCATTTTAACCTTCTGCTCCTGTGGTTCACACACATCTAGCTCCTTTGGTTTCCTCTTGGGACATTCCGGCCATACCATGAGCATGGCCACTCTCCACAGAGAGAATGGCACTGGAGGGAGTCATCTCCTCATGCCCTTTTAAAGCCAAGCAGTTGATATGATTCGCAATATTAAAATATAACGCTGCCATACATGGCAATATTGAACTAGATCTCACATACCCAACTGACCAAGGGCACTGTGACACACAAGTCCATGGGAGATGAGTTGGGAAGAAGTGGTATCTGCTTTGTATCTGCTAGCCGCGTARGAATGATCTGTAGATCAGCAGTTGTCTTGCAAGGCAAGGATTCTTCCCTGAATACTCAATAACCATTTCCAGATTGGTGATGTGGGAAGGGTTTATATGGCAAATGAAACACGAATAGCTTGACGACCATAAAGAACTGAAGCTGCAAACACCTTGGAGAAGAGCAGTGCTAGCACTTCACAAACTCTAGATTAAGATTCCAACACATTTACTTTCTGAATTTCTAGTCAAACATGCTTAAAAATACCTATAGACATTATAATCTAGACACTAGCTCCYGACATGCGCTTTTAATTACTTTTGCAAGGCAGTTGTACAAATGAGGTAGTTAAATATGCATGGCTATTTACCTGGATTATAGTTTGCAATCCCACTAATGGAGCTTGCAAAATAAATATGCTCTGCATACTTGGTTGAAATTATCCCTTTTCAAAATGATATGTGTGTATTGAGGCGAGAAAGGGAAGCCATGCAAAAGCAGAGCCCAGGTTTTCCATTAGGCTAACAAAAACAAACAGCATGCTGTTCTTTTTTCCTGTCAGATGTTTGACTAGTTTTAATTAGTGCTTTAGAGTGAGCATTTAAAACTACAAGAGTTATGGAAATATTGTTGGTGGAAGAAACTGTGGAAAAGATGAGATTCATTTGCATCACTATTAATGCATAGAACAAAGCGCACTAATTGTAGCTGCACTAAAATGAAAATTACTGAAGCTTACCCAATGGCAAGAAAACAATCTAAAACCTAGATTCAGTAAGGAAAAGCTTTGTTTTGGGGACTCTACTAGAGAATAACAAACACAAAACTATAAAAAGATCCTGTGTGAAAACCTTTAAAGGAAAAATTACTCTGTTTCAACTATGGTTTTGTTTTGGGTCTTTCTTGAATAAACACTCATTTATCAGTCTGCTACTCTGTCACCCAGAATGATTATTTTTAAACCTCGCTTGGGCTTTGCCTTTTGTGATTTGCAATACGCTCCTGGGACCCTTGCTGTCAATGTTCTGAAGTGCCAGACTCCTTAGTCACAAACCCGAATCTGTTAAAATATGATTATAACAGAAATGTCTCCGTGAAGCCACCCTAC